CCAGCCTCTAAAGGTTGGGGACCACTGCTGTAACAGATAATTCTTTTCTGAGTATGAAATTAGAGTTAGCTATAAAGTTTTGGAATTAGAATGATTCTATTGGTTTGAAATTCACCCAGCACTGTCTCCGCGCGGGGAGGGGGAGGGGGAGAGGGAGGGGCGGCCGCAGGAGATAGAGGCATAGCGGGGGACCAGGTGTGAGCTGGGAATCAGATGATTCACGGCTTGTGCCCAGTCCCAGATGCTGCACTTCTACTTTTTAAATGTATTTAGAGCCATCAGGATCTTAATGCATTTAAAAAGCAAAAGCGCAGCCCGGGGGAGGAGAGAGATAGTGGAGGGCTGCGCATGAGCCAGGAATCAGCAGTCCCAGCTCACGCCTGGTCCCCCCTGCTGTGCTTCAGCCTTTTAAAAGTATTAAGAGCCTAGTGGCCGCAGCAGGGTTAGCTTCTAGGTCTGGGAGCTAACCCTACTGTGGCTCTGCACTTTCCCCCTTAGCTATTAATTGACTAGTTGATGGAAATTCCATCAACCAGTCAATGAGTTGATTAAATGCAATTTTTAACATCCCTACATTCAACAGCTTCTGTGGACTGAATTCTTTTTCATCATTGCATTTGTATTTTGTCTTTGTAAAAATTATAAAGTAAATAGTGGCCTTGCTGAATAAATTAATAATTACATTTGAACCTGGTGTGTGCACTTGCTGATTTGATTATGTCAACCAAAGGAGATTCTTTTAGTGTTTGAAAAATACATAATTTGGAGGTTATAGTATTTCAAGTCCTTTTAGGATTATGCTTTCCTCTTCACCTAATCTCTGTATACAAAGTACTGTCACTTAGATGTTAGAGAACTAACTTGAAATAAGAGAATAAGATCATATTTGATTGAAGGATTCCTTGGGTAACTCTTGTTTGGTCTGCCAAACGAGAACCAATGAATTTAAGTGCGAATGGGATAGTTCCTCAGAAATGTATTTGGTAGAAAAGCGTATAGATTTGCTATATAACAAATTTATATGATATTATTTTAGTTCTCTATTTCACTCAGAATGGAACATGATGAGGCACATACAATGTTTGCTGACCTTTATACTGTTTAGCTGACAACATTAGAAGTAACCATACAACCGATTTGTGAAATTTGTGCTTAATGGGCATTTTTATTCCCTTTCCATGGTGTTCATGTTGTGATGGGATGAGGACTTGTGCACATACCCTCTTCAGCAATATGGGAGAAGCAATCAACAAAGTATTTTGTCCCTACTGGCTTGTCTGATATCTATAGGCAATCTTTAGCAATTACACTTCTTGTGGTAAACTTGCATTTCATAAGTGGTAATGCTTCTCTCCTCACTGTGTGCAATTTATAGTCTTAGCAAACATTTTTATAGTTACAAAGCAAATGTTTAAACATTACATGATAACATGGGGAATATAAATATTATAAGTAGGATTAACATATGCAGCATTCTACAAGCATACTGTTAAGTCTAAACACATTCTTACACTTCTAATATGTATTTTAAGAATACTAACGCACATGTAAGCCACTCTGGTTTCTAGCTGTGCATTAGTCAGTGTTCACGAGGGCTTTGGCAAGAGCTGGCACAGGCTCTGCCAGAGTCAGATAGAAAAGTTTTTCAGCAGCAGTGATTGAAACACTTCAGCGATGATACAGTGCCAATCATTTGTGCAGCTGCTGATGAAATTCCAGAAAATTAGGGTTTTTTTTCTTTTTCTAGTTTGCCTTTTCAGTTGCTATCTCTGAGTCCAGAGACTTAGATTTGTCTAAACGGGAGCAATCAAAACTATGGAGATATGAACTGTAGAGCTCACTAACATGTTGCATTCTAACTGCCTTGTGTAAAACTAGCTGGCATGAATGAAAAAGCATCTAGTTTGTGTTGATGCTCCCATCAACATGAATTATCCATCTTTTTGTTTTCACCAGCAGGGTTTACAAGTTAGGGTGCAACACAGTAGAACACTATAGTTTACACCTCTGTTGTCCTCACTGTGGTGCTATGTAGCCAAGCCCTTGAAGGACTTTCTTGGTTGTTCTTCTCTGGTACTCATAATCTCAAAAGTTTTTAGCTTATTTGATTTGTTTCAGGTCATCTTGACAATATATTTAAATGTATTTTCAGAGTTTACTTTGCATCAGGTAGGAAAATAGAGTTATGGTTCTGATCAGGTTATGATCTCTTCAAAATCTACAAGCATCCCATCCAGTTGCAATTATATTTTATGTTTTGTTGGGAAACATTTATTTAACTTTAAATCAGTAAACTCAAAATTTGCTTTTCTTTTGGTTTGAAATTACAATATGGTAATGCTTTCCACTGTGTGTGTGGATATGTCCCATGCTGTACACTGTCGGCAACGTATGGACATAGAATGTACTATGAACCAAAGCGAATCTGTTGGTCCTTTCCTATTCCAAGACTGATTTAAAGTAAAGCATTTATTTTCTGATTGCAGTCATTTAAAGGCAGAGGGGAGGAGAGGAAGAAATTGCATTTAACCAGAGAAACTGCCATCTTCAATTAAAAAAATCCCAATTTTTTCAGTTACATTTTTGATACTTTAAGACTTCTACATTCTCTTTAAGAAAATTTTTATCATACAGTACGGGCTTTGTTATCTGGCACTTTACTGTCCAGAATACTTTAACTGGCATCTGTCATAGATGGCAATACAATTCCTTTTCATTTAACTGTAAAAATTCCTGTAGCCATCTGGCATAAATTTTAGACATGAAAAGTTTGTGAAATTTGTACTAAAGCAGTAAAGTTTGTGTGTGTCGTGCTTCTGCATATAGTACAGTTATCAGATATTATCTAACCCATCCTACAACTATGGCTAGCAGAGGGTGTAAAGCTTGAATAACCAGCACTTTTGATTAACCGGCAACTCCCATTCCACATGAATGCCGGATAACAAAGCTTGTACTGTAAGAGAAACTGAGAGATCTTAACTTCATGATCTTGTCTATATGATTCTGGAATGCAGACATTTTCCCTGTCTTGTTTAATTTATTTGGTTGTCGATTAAATATGCAATCTCTACCGCTCCCCCCCCCAAAAAAAGATTTGCTAAAAACAATTTTATGGTTTGCAGGTTAACTAAGAATATCAACGATTATTTGAAAATGTGCATTTATGAAGGTTATTTAAAAACTGCTCCTTTTAATGTTTTGTCTTCATTTTAAGAAAAAGTTAAGGAAATGAAGAGCTTTTCAATGGTGTCTAAAGAATTATTCCGCAGTCCTTGGCTATTCTTGGATTTTATTGATCTTTGATTCATTGTGTAAACAGGTTTTTTTTCCTTTGTCTCTCATCCCTCCCTCTTACTCATAGTACCTGGTTATGGATTACTATGTTGGAGGAGATTTGCTTACCCTCCTCAGCAAGTTTGAGGACAGGCTACCTGAAGATATGGCTCGTTTTTATTTGGCTGAAATGGTGATAGCAATTGATTCTGTACATCAGTTACACTACGTCCACAGGTAAGGAAATCCAGCAATGAAATACAGAAATGACCTTAACACTGTGCATTATGGACCATTTCCTGCAGTTCTAGCTTACCCTCCAGTAAAACTCTCATTAACTCCAGCAAGAATTTGGTAAAGATTTTGCTGTAATGGAGCAACTAGCAAATATTGACTATAATGGTGATCACTGTTGCTTGGCTTATTCAACCTGCTTAAAAATATTTCCTGAAAACCCAAGAACATATGCAGGGGCATGGTCTTTGGCATATTCTAAATCAGTGTGCATGTTTTTATTTATTAAATATATATGTTTCACAAAATATGACCCTGATCCAGCAGTATGATTTGCTAACTTGGACACCAGATATCTGTGCAGACTCATAGTGGATAGGTTACACTGCTGGATCAGATATTTTGTTTGGAATGTGTCTTGATTAGTCAGTTCTATGTATGAACAATTATATAAGCACAAAATAAAGTGTTGGAATTTTAATTTCTTTTTTAGTTTTGTTTTGGATTTGGAACATAATTTCTAGCAATCTATAGCTGGTAGTAGTGACTAAGTTATTTGGGAAAATAACTGAAAGTATTTAAACTGAATTTAAATGTGGTGCATTAGTTTGATGTATAAAAATGGCTTGTTCCTGCCATTGCTTTTAACACAATGCTCATGGTGACATCAATGACAGCTTTATAATGATGACAGTGGTAATTCTAGAATGATAGGATACTGCCCAGAGAGAGAGAGAGGGATGTCCAAAATGACTCAACATTGAGCTAACTTTGCTCCCTTTGAAATTGATAGTAAAACTTCCATTAGCTTCTATTACAGTAAATTACATATACAGTATAAGCCCATCTGAAAATTCCCCCAAGAAGACTCCTTTTGAGTATAGGCAATACTAATGATTATTTGGCCATTCATATTGACTTGACTTCCTACTCCAGAAGTGATCAGATGGTTGCCACTGGGACCCATTTGATAGGAAGAAGTATCCTCATGACTGATTTGAAGTTGCTCTTCATGAAGGAGTTCTAGCAAGGAGCACCTTGTGATTTTAGGTTGTTTAGTTCTGATTTGTCTTTTGTAAGCATTGAATTAGGCATCATAGGAATTAGGTTTTGTCAGGTTCCTTATTTCTCATATATGTGAAATGTGTTTGAAGTCTTGTGACTCCATTTTCAAAGGAGAAAAACCTGTTTTTTCTGTCAAAGGGCTGAATTTATGTAGAAAGTAGCCTTTTGTGAAACTTTGTAAGGAAAAGACCCATTATCTTATTTTATCATCTTTGTGGATTCAGTGATTTCAAATGTGTGTCTTTGAGAAGGTGTGTTCTTAGATCATTTTGCACCTGATCTAAAGCTCATGGAAGTTGATGGACAGACTGGCTTTGACTTCAGTTGGCTTTTGATTAGATTTTTTTTAAAATAACTTGTGTGTGACTTGTTGAGCCGGCTGACTACTGTATTTTTTGATGACAGTGAAAAGCATTTCACATGTTTGCTAGGCTACTAAATTTCTCACAAGTCAGCCTGTAGAGTAGCTACAGTTCTCAGAAAAATAATTTAAGATTTTTCTTTCAGAAGACCATCTTGTAATTCCTGTAGTGGTGGTACATAATATTCAACATAGGTGACATTTACATCTTCAGATTGTTTGTCACCAATGTTAAATGGATTTGCATGTGAACTTGTGATACACAATTAAATGGCATCCTATTGGAGTTTTGCAGGAGCAGAAGTGCTAGATTTGAAGAGAGATGATTGTAGGAATCAGTGTGTGGGTAAATTAACCTACCCATACTTACTTCAAACTAGACTCCAAGTCCTTCTCTATTATTATTTGCAGCTTTGCCAGGGAGCTGCCTGTAACATATTCATAAATCATCTCTTTAAGGTCAGTCCAAAAATGACAGTTTTTATAGATCAAATATCAGTAACACAAAGTGTGTTTATAAGGAAAAAAGCTGTTTTGCAAAGATGAAAAATGCAAAAAGGCCTTGAGTAAGTGTTAACTGATCAGCCTTTGAAATGTGACCCATTTCCCTGTTACTTTGAGATGTTTGCAGCTGTTACAGCAGAAGAAAGGAAAACATTTGTAAGTGCCAGCAGTGTTCTTTCCTGAATGAATAACTCTATTGGCTTACTCTCTTTGGGGGGCATGTTGTGGGAAGTGGAGGGCAGAGGAAAGGCAAAAGAACAAATATTAATAGAAAGTGATAATGTAATATCTGCAGTGGCAGTACTTTTGATAGATGGGCAGCGTGCACGGGATTTGAACAGTAAATGCATCTTTCTTTCAAGATTATTTCGCTATCAAGATTCAGAATTCTGTGGGGTTTTATTTATTCTTGCTTTTTTGGTGTCCGATTTCTTCAGGACTGATTTTTCACATGGATCATAACCAGTCTCATACTCTGTGCTGAGAGCATTTCCCCTATTGCTTATATTTCTTATATACTTATTCCTCATCCCTTTTATCTTTATCTTTCAGCCGTTCCAGGCTTTTCTACTTTTAGAAAATAATTGCTTTTATATTCTAGTTATAAAAGAGTGTAGTTTTTTCTGAAGAATATTGTTGATCATCATGATAGTTATCCTGCAGAATAACCCAACAGTTAAACATAAACCATTGTTCTCCTTCCAAAATGGACTGTCAGGAGAGCTTAAACATCTGAAACACAAGCAACCTTCGCACTGTTTGGCCTCTGAAACTATAAACTATTGCAGAACAACTCAGTTTTGCGATGCTGTGCTGTAAGCCCTTCAGCAATTTCTGAGCTGGACTGCAGACCACTTATTTGGAAGGCTACATAGCCTAGAGAACGGTTTGTGTTAACTATTATATAGCTAGTATGTATATACATCTATGTATGTATATACATATATGTGTGTGTATCTGCACTATATGTGTATATTTATATATATTTGCAGATGCATACACATAGAATCATAGAATACTAGAACTGGAAGGGACCTCGAGAGATCGAGTCCAGTCCCCTGCCCTCCTTGCAGGACTGAGCATCTTTTAGATCATCCATGATAGATGTCTTTCCACCCTGCTCTTAAATATCTGCAGTGATGGAAATTCCACAACCTCCCTACGCAATTTATTCCAGTGTTTAATCAACCTGACAGGAAGTTTTTCCTAATGTCCAACCTAAACCTCCCTTGCTACAACTTAAGCCCATTGCTTTGTGTCCTATCATCAGCGGCCAAGGAGAACAATTTTTCTCCCTCCTCCTTGCAACACCCTTTTAGATACTTGAAAACAGCTATCATATCCCCTCTGTTTTCTTTTCTAAACTAAAATGTGGTGCTCAGTACTCAAACTGAGGCCTAATCAGCACAGAGCAGAGCAGAATTATCACTTCTCGTGTCTTGCTCACAACACTCCTGTTAATGCATCCCAGAATCATGTTTGCTTTTTTTACAACAGTCACACTGTTGACTCATATTTAGCTTGTAGTCTACTATGACCACTAGATCCCTTTCTGCAATACTCCTTCTTAGATAGTTGCTTCCCATTCTGTATGTATGAAGCTGATTGTTCCTTCCTAAGTGGAGTACTTTGCATTTGTCTTTATTACACTTCATCCTATTTGCCTCAGACCATTTCTCCAGTTTGTACAGATCATTTTCAATTACAACACTATCTTCCAAAGCACTTGCAATCCCTCCCAGCTTGGTATCTTCTGCAAACTTAATAAGCGAACTCTCTATGCCAATATCTAAATCATTGATGAAGATATTGAACAGTCCCAAAACAGACCCCGGCGGAACCCCTTCCAGCATGATTGCGAACCATTAATAACTACTCTCTGAGAACAGTTGTCCAGTCAGTTATGCACCCACTTCACAGTAGCCCCATCTAGATTGCATTTTTCTAGTTTATTGATAAGATCAAAGTGGTCTCTTGCCATACTTTCTTTCCTTCCTATGCAGTGGAATAGTTTGCTTTTGGGCCCTTAATAATGTCCTTTTGAAAAACTGCCAACTCTCTTCAGTTGTTTCCCCCCTTATGTGTATATATATATATATACATAAATATATGTGTATATATACACATAAATATATGTATATATACTTTCTATATGAATAAAGAAACCTCTGAAAAGATGTTCAAATTTACATATTTGGAGCAGGTAATTGACTAATCATATAGTCGATAAGGGGAGGTGCTCTGCAGAGCTGCAGCAGGGGTAGTTCCCTTAGCCAGCGCAAGCCAAGACTGAGCAGTCCAGGCTCGAGCCAGCTCTGGGACCACCGCATCTCTGCCTCCCCTGCCCCCTTCTGCGCACCATAGAGCCGGTGCTGGGGGGAGCCTCCTTTTAACAGATTGTGTAGTATATTACTCATTTGTTTTACCAATCTCATAAATTCTAATGATCATTTAACTGCATTTTCTAGTAAAACATAAGTTATCAGCTTTATTCCTGGTGCAGGCCCCTAATGCATTTTGCTTTAACCAATGGATTTAAAGCTGCATGATTGGTTCTGGAAAGATTACTTGATATGAATTACCGGTAACTTTAATTGAACATGATATGCTTCCTACCTGATTGTGCAGCTCTTACTTAAATAAAACTTATTTGGGAGCTAATATAAGGACTGTGTTTACCTATCAAATGTATTAATTTAAAACATTATTAAATGATGATTTTTTTGGTAGTAGGGCAAGGTCAAATATTGCCTTGTGACATTTATGTGCAAGCTATACTGTCCTGTATAGTATGCGGTTTTCCATGTAGGTAACAGAAACACTTTGAAGCTAGAAGAAAATGAAAAGAAGCATAGCATTTTCATTATATTTCTGATGAAACCTCTAAATTTAAATTAATTCTAGTTTGATTTTAATCCACTGTAATTAGGAGTAAATCATTTCCTTTCATATGCATTGCATTCTAAAGCTCAGCTTCCATACATCATCAAGTATTTAGATGAGGGTAAGAGTCAAACTGTCTTAAGGAATGTCTACACTTGCCATTTAAAGCAGGAAAAAGTCCCCTTTGTGC